GTGTGTGTGTGTGTGTGTGTGTGTGTGTGTGTGTGTGTGTGTGTGTGTGTGTGTGTGTGTGTGTGTGTGTGTGTGTGTGTGTGTGTTTAAACAGGTCTGTCCACAACCTTGTTTTGTTTTCCTGTGCAGGTATTCCTGAAGATATTTTGAACTCCTCACAGGATCAAGATAGCAATCAGAAGCAAACACCACCAGCTACATTCAACAAACCTCCTACATCACCACTTAAAAAATCTACATGCACTTCTGTGCAAGGGTTACCCAGTTTACAGGATTTAATGACAAATGATGCACAAGTTCCACCAGAATATGCACATGATAACCACGAAAAACTTCCATTAGCTTCCATTTTAACACCTCAATTAGAAAGTGTCTCAGGTTACACACCAGCAAGCCAGTGTCACACAGTATGTTCAAAGCATTCCTCCAACTCAACCACTTCACTCCAACCAAACAATCTTGGAGAGTTTAATGATGAAGAAAGCGCCACTAATCACCACGTTAGACCCACGATCCAGCTGTTTAAGCTGGACGACTTAGACCACGCAAAGTAGGTCCAGAATTCTCACAATTTTTGTTAGTGTAATCATCCAAAAAATATTAAAATAACACAAACACATTCTTGTGTATTTGATAATATTAGAATGATGCACAAAAAGGGGTTCGTTTAATAAAACATTAATGCATATTTTTTGTACCCATTCTAACTTTAGGTGGTGTATATTCAAGGCCCACTGGGAGCAGCTAAAAGAGATGGAAGCTTTATGTCGTAAAGAGGGGAAGCTTCTGTGCCAGCAGCCTGATATGGTGAGAAATAAAGCAACAAAAGCAACTCTTTACATTTTTTTAATGTACATACTCTTTTTCTGTTAGGCATTTGGAGAATATGTCCAGCAGCTGGAGGAAATCATGGAGAAAAAGGCTTGGTGTGTACACAGCATGAGAGCTCAGCTACAGCCATATCTGAAGCCCATCACCTCAATCCACCCACAGGGAGCAGACGATCACAGATCAACTAGTTGAATTTGAGTTAATAATACTTATGTTTTTGTGCAATGTTTTCAGTGACAACAATAACTGCAGCTTGTTACATATCGTACATATATGGTCATCCTATATGCTTTGTTATGTTTAAGTAAATTGAGCTTGATGAGTTCTTGGACAGCTGTCACTTGATGTGTTTGATGTCAAAATGCATGATGCACTAAGGGTTTTACTGGTGAAACGTGCAATCATATGTTTTTCTTTCATGGTGACAGTAATATATATGGAATTCTGATTCTGCCACTAAAGATAGTTCTTTCTATCTATTTTTTCTTAGCCTCTGTCCATGAAAACTGCTGATTTTGTAATTTTTCATTAAAGAAAATCTTTGGTTTTAATCTTAATGCATGTTTTATTCACAGCACCACTATCTGGACAAAGCTAAATCTGTGTCTCTGGGTTGACAACTCATAGAACCACGCATTTGTTTGAGCTTGATCTCAGATTGTAATAGAAATGCTTGCTTAGCAGACTGTTTTCTAGTGTTAAATTTTTTAAGATTTCAAGATTGCTGATATCTGTTATGTTGTGATCTCTGAATTTGAAATCTTCCTCTTTTAATGTCAGTGTTTAACTTTGGGTAATGTGTGCACATTTTTCCACAGAGGGCAACTGAAAATCAATAAAATAAGGACTAAAAAAAGTATACCCAAGCACTTCTTTGTATTAAAATTATAGCACATCCTTCTACATTTTTATCCAAGCTCAATTTGACATTGAGTTTTGTGCTGAGTCTTCTGATAAATAATATGAAAGCAGCATGCATGAGGAGAACAAAAAAGTGGTGGAAGTGACGAGGTGGAAGTGGGATTACATCAGGGATTGGCTCTGAGCCCCTTGTTGTTTGCAGTGTGATGGGCAGGCTGGCAAATGATGTCAGGCACGGGTTTCTGTGGACTATGATGTTTGCAGATGACGTTATGAACTGTAGTGAGAGTAGGGAGCAGCTGGAAGAAAGATGAGAGGTGGAGGTACGCTCTGCAGAAAAGAGGAATGAAAATCAGTAAAAGAAAGACATAAAAGATAGGCAGACGGGTTAACAGTGGCGATGCAAGGAGTTGAGGTAGTGAAGATGGATGAGTTTTAATACCTGGGATCAGACATCGAAACTAATAGATGCACAAGAGAGGTGAAGAACAGAGTGCAGGTAGTGTGGAGGGGGCGGAGATGAGTGTCAGAGGTGGTTTGTGACAGAAGGATAGAAGCAAGAGTAAAAGGGAAGGTTGAGAAGTTGGTACCGGTAGTAATAGGATATACAGTTTGGAGATGGTGGCACTGACAAAAAGACAGGGCAGAGAGGAAATTGTTAAGATTTTCATCACCAAGATGGAGAAGATTATAAAGGGACAGCTCGGGTAGAGATGTTTTGGACATGTGCAGAGGAGGTATGGAGGATATTGAATATGGAGCTGCCAGCCAGAAGGAAAAAACAGACCACAGA